TTAAAACCGCAGGCAGGACGTGCAAAAACATGTTTAATGCAAAATGTGGTTTATATATTTTGCATTAAGTATTGTGATACTGCATGACCTATAAGTATCTTTTGTTTGGTACAGATTACTTTTCATATAACTTTTAAGACAAAAAAGATTATTCCCTCTAATATCGTGACTCATATCTCAATTGAGTGCCACAGTGGAAGCAAACTCCTTCCGGTTCCTTCGACAAAAACGCAATGCAATTCCTCCGTAGGGTTTTGGAAGATAGCTGGAAATCAGGTCTGTGGTTGAAACGCATTTAAGAGACGGGTCACGTTTTGTTCAGCCGGATAATCTCCACATGTCTATCCTACTTTTATCATTTTATAATCGTAAATCTAGTCGCCAGAAGCAAAATGCTAACGTTATGCTATATATGAACTACAGCAGGGTCGCTGCTTCAACGTCACGCCGACTTAAGATCCATATTCAAACACACAGATTCTAAATGGTTCAAGTTGAAGCGTTTGTTTGAACAGTCTGCAGGAGGCAGGGACTGCTTTCAAGCAGAACAGAAACTAACTTAGAGGAGTGTTCACGGTGTTCGGCCGTAATGACGGCCCTCGACAACTTCTGTAGTCCTATTCAGCCACTTGGTAACAACCATCGTTTCTCAGACACGTCAACTCTTCAGAAATCCCCAGTGGGGTCACTGCTGATGGATTTAATGTCGTAGAACAAAACGTGATCCGTCTCTTCAATGCGTCTCAACCACAGACCTTAGTTCCAGATATTCTCCAAACCCTATGGAGAAATCTCATTGCTTTTTGTCGAAGGAACCGGAAGTGGTGAAATGCTAACTTACTTCCGGGTTTTAGGACTCGTCACTGCGACACTCCATTGCAATATCAGTTAATCACAATTAGTCCTTTTTTTTCTGATGGTGCAGCCCTACTGGAAACGTACATGTAAGGTTACCCAGAAGACACTGTCCGAATGACTGCACCACAGAAGCTCACAGTATGCAACAACAGACCACCCTGGGGTAAAATGCTACGTTTTATTTGTATTAGTATACATTGAGTGAGTTTGTTGCTACCTTGGCTTCAGCAACAGCGATGCAGTCGTCCCACATGTGGAGCTCCTGGTACATCTCTATGGCTTCATCAATGGAGTTCTGCAGAAACAGAAAAATAGGTAATAAGATTTGATTCAGTGCTGCACAAATAGTTCATTACAATCTCGGCTCCTAAAGGAAGGAGAGCGTGTTCCTTCTGTAACCAACAGATTCTGCGGAAAGCAGAGAGCATTCTGAACTCTCCAGGTCGTGTTCTTTCACATGAATTTCGTCTGTTGCCAATCAGGGCGAAGATATGCTCTACCTGCTCAAAGGACTATCGCTTTTCTAAATCATTCATCCCTTCTGCACTCAAACTTTTAATTCTTGAAAAGGCTTTTTTAACTTGATTATTTATTTATTTATTATTATTGTGATGCTTTGAACTATTTATAGTGTAAATTAGAATTATTCACATCTGTGCTCCCGGGTGTATCTGTGTGGTTTCTTCCTGTATGTTCCTGCCTGTGTTCATGACATAAGCTGCTGCTCATAACCAATTGCCCCTTGCGGGATTAATAAAGTTGTTGATTGATTGTACCGGTGTGATGTTGATACAATGCTATGGCTCGTAATCTATATTCAGGTGTGTGCCCGGGATTCATTGCTACACTATAATAATTGAACATAAAACAAGCATCTGGAATCTCAACAATTGATATGCGGCAGGAAAAACACTCCTGGTTTGAGAGGAGTTTTTGGTTTGTTGTAAAATCAATCAATACTAATTTTTAAGTTCATAAAATAATAGACAGAAAAGAAAGTGTGTCACCAACCTGCTCCATGTAGTGCATCTCAGCCAGTTTGAAGTTTTTATCCAGCATGGCGACGTGCGCTCGGACCTGAAAAAACTCTGTTCCATCTCCACCCTGACACACACACACACACACACCATGTATACATCACTTCAGGGGACATTACATTGACTTACATGCATTTTCCTGGAGACTTATCCTAACCTAAACCATAACCAACACATGCCTAACCCTAACCCTTAACCAAGTCTTCACCCTAAAATTAATGATTCCCTCATGGGGACCTCCAATTTGTCCCCATAAGGGAGGCGAGTCCCCACACGTGACTGTGTAAACAGATTTAGGTCCCCACAAGTATAGTAATGCTAGGCCACACACACACACATACACACACACACACACACACATGTACAATCCTGACACACACACACACATGTACAATCCTGACACACACACACACATGTACAATCCTGACACACACGCACACACATGTACAATCCTGACACACACACACACACATGTACAATCCTGACACACACACACCATGTAAACATCATTTCAGGGGACATTACATTGACTTACATGCATTTCCTGGAGACTTAGCCTAAACTTAATCATAACCAACACATGCCTAACCCTTACCCTTATCTTAAACCTAACTAAGTCTTCACCCTAAAATTAATGATTCCCCTTATGGGGACCTCCATTTTGTCCCCATAAGGGAGGCGAGTCCCCACACGTGACTGTGTAAACAGATTTAGGTCCCCACAAGTATAGTAATGCTAGGCCCACACACACACACAAACACACACACACAGTAAGGTGTTAAAAAATGTTTACTTCCTTCTGATAATTGTTTGTTGAGTTTCTCTCTTACACCATAAGAAATATCAATCCAAAAAATGATTGTATATATTATATATATATATCAGATATTGCTGTGTTAAAAATATCCAAACAGCCATGAATACCATTTTAATGACAGTGGTGGTGAATTGTAACTAAGTGCATTCACTCTAGTACATTGTGATATGTTTGTGGGGTACTTAAGTATTTTCTAATGCAAACACTCTGTTATTTTACTTTAGTTAGATTGTGAATGCTATTCCATTACTTGCAGGAATGTGTCCACTCGATTATTGCTATTCTTACACGCGTATAGTAACAAATTGGAGGAATTGTTCCACCAAAGCTGATATTTAGCTGTCTTACTATGTAAATACCAGTCAAATTCTTTGTTTGTTTATACGTATCTGGTCTGTGTGGAGATATCTGTGTTTATATGAAACCCACCATTTCATGTGAAACTTTGTCGGCAATCTGGTTAGTTTGGTGGAGGAAACGCACAGTTGAGACGTCCCCTAACGCAGCAAAACACCTAGAGAACATGAGGAAAAACAAAAAGAGAACAAGTGTGAACCACAGAGAGAAACGGTGAGTAAGGAGAGGGGGTACCAGGAGGTCAGAGCTGTAGAAAACTGCTTAATGCACAGAAACAAATGAGAGCTTTTGTTTAATTAGCCTTTAGAAAACGCTGCAGTCTGAGGGCTGATTAATGAAAGGGCTGGTCTTAGGCATCCGGACACTTTATTACCAACTCTCTCTGAACACTTGCATCAGATTAATGAACAAGTCATGAAAGAAAGAAAAAGTTTAAAAATAAAAGTCTGACTCTTCCTCACTTCTCTCCCTCATTAACATTAACCAGCGCAGACAAAACCGTTTCTTCCCCCAATTTCATGATTTATGCAAACCAAGCCGAGGCCTAACGAACAGCATATGCATTATTAATGACGGGGAATTCAAATTTGAAAAGTTTCCCGAAACAGAGAGAAATAAAGATGGAGGGGGGGGGGGCGGGAGAGAGAGGAAATGCTTATGATTAAATAAAATGTCTTTGACGATTAATGAAGTTAGAGAGGGAGGTCAGGCAGGGACACAGTGCGTGTGTGTGTGTGTGTGCGTGTGTGTGTGTGTGTGTGTGTGTGTGTGTGTGTGTGTATGTGTGTGTGTGTGTGTGTTTCCACTCCAGGTAACCAAGGTGCCCTTGTTGTTTCCTTTCTCTTCGGTCACAAAGATAAGTCCTACTTACAATGATGACTGATAAAGAATGTAATTAACTCTGAGACACGGACATTAGCTTGCAAGGTTGTGTGTGTGTGTGTGTCTGTGTGTGTATGTCTGTGGTGTGTGGTGTGTGTGTGTGTGTGTGTGTGTGTGGGTGTGGTGTGTGTGGGTGTGTGTGTGTGTGTGGTGTGTGTCTCTCTGTGTGTGTGTGTGTATGTCTGTGTGTGTGTGTCTCTATGTCTGTCTGTGTGTGTGTGTGGGTGTGTGTGTGTGGTGTGTGTGGTGTGTGTGTTGTGTCTGTGTGGTGGCTGTGTGTGTGGGTGTGTGTGTGGTGTGTGTGTGTGTGTGTGTGTGTGTGTGTGTGTGTGTGTGTGTGTGTGTGTGTGAAGAGTGCTGACCTTTCTGCGATGTGCAGCTGCTGACCCTCCAGAGCCAGCTTGCTGAGCGTCTTCCACATGGCTTCAGTCTCTGGCGACATCTCCAGAGTCTCCAGGAATGCTGTGGCTCTGTCAAAACACACACACACACAACACACACACACACACACACACACACACACACACACACACAAACACCAAACACACACAAACACACACAAACAACACACACACCACACACACACAAACACCAAACACACACAAACACACACAAACACACACACACACACACACACCACACACACACACCAAACACACACACACACACACACACAAAAAGCTGTTAAAAAGATTCAGGCCATAAAACCAAAGAACAAACAATTTTACGTTTCGTTTTGCAGATGCAGTGTGATGACAAATATAAAAATACAGTTGCTAAAAGAATGCAGTTGTTAGTCGTGTTGTTAGGGACAGCGTGAAGTGTCATGTTCATTACTGTTCAATGGTCTAATATTGAACAATTCTCAATCTTGCAAAGCTTATAAAAAGAGAGCTATATATAATTACAAATTTGAGATAAATGTTGTGAGTACCATCGCGTTGAAGTCAGAGACAAAACTCTTGCTTCCTCAATCAGTCTTTTCCCCTGCAGGGTCTCTCCAGCAAATTAGATTACATTTAAAACCTTTTTAATAAATGTTATCCCCTCCTACGGCTCTGTAATATAATTTGTTTTACTTACAATGCCTAATTCGTTTTACGTTGTAAGATACACTCTTATGACTATCCCTCTTTAAGGTGTAACATCCCCGACAGCTCGAAATGTAATATAAAACAGAAAAAACGTTTTATTACTAACATTGCTGCCTACAGAAAGCTGAATTCAATGCCTTTTAACACTTGTAAGGATGCCCTCTCTGACTTATGGTTAGGGCTGCACGATATTGGAAAAAACTGACATTGCGATTTCCCCCCCCCTGCGATATATATTGCGATATGAAAACATACAGGAATTGAAGAAAAGACAGTTTTTTTGTCCGCAACCATCCTTTCTTGAACTTTAATGATACAATTGGTATTTCTTTAACTATATTTAACCGGATGAAGGATTTTAGTCACGGACGTCTGGATCTGAAGTTATCAGAGCAACAAGCTAAGCTAGCTCGGTTAGCAGCGCCGAACTGAGAAACAACTTTATTCAGTGTTTTACCTTTTAATCACAGGGTCCGTTTGCTTTGGAGATTTGATTGTGATTGGTGGTTTGCTGTCACTCACTCAAGTACCCTGACATGAGAGCAGCACGAGTTTCCCTTTTGTAGCAAGCAGCAAAATAATTGTAACATGACGTGTTTGAGTTAATTTGCCTACTTAATATCGCAAGTCATAAAATGTAAAAAAAAATCGTCACGTCCTGCGATGCGAATATAGCGGTTATCGTCACGACACGATATATCGTGCAGCCCTTCTTATGGTCAATCTTTTAACAGAAACACAAGTATAAGACACAGAAAATCCTGCTTTATAGGAGCTGGTCTTACTTGATATGAGTTCAGCTGAAGAGATCAGCTGCTGCTCCTCCAACTAAGAGAGGTCAGTTTCAAATCTGATCACTTTGAGGTGTTCGCATCACGACACTCTGAATGAGACTTTGCCTCCCAGCTGGCCCTGAGAAAACCCTCGAGAAGATCTGCAGGAAGCTGCGGGATAAAAGGACATCTGGCCTGTTCTGATTACCCTGCTGTCACTGAGACTCTGACCCAGCAGAGCAGCGAGGCGCCGGATACATGCTCAACTCCACGCTGTATGCACGTCTAGATTCTGCCAAGAAAGTCTAATCGTACCTGTCGTAATCCCCGTCATCGATGGCCGTTCCAAACTCGATGAGGCCTTCGTCCAGCGTGTACGTCACCGTGCTCACGCCCTCCGTCACGATCACATCCGTCTTCCCATCACTCTCTCCAGATCCACGATGTCTCCCTAAAAACAGAAGTGAAGCCAAATTACAATACAATACAAAAGGGGCTTTATTGGCATGACCACATTTTAAACATAGTATTGCCAAAGCATTCCGCACAAGGCGTTATAACAGAACAAACACTAAACCTGAGTGTGTGTGTGTGTGTGTGGGTGGTTGTCTGCGCGTGTGTGTGCACACTGCTAAGATGTAATGTGGAAGGGAATGATGGACCACAGTAATCATGTGTCCATTAGACCCAGAGGCGGACCTTGATGGGAACATGGTGATGCTCTCGGGGCTGTCGATGCTGTACCAGACGCACAGGTTCCCTCGGTTCTGAGCCACCACCACATCCACTGCCGGGAACCCACTGCACGTACGAGCAGAAACTCAGCAGCGTGGTCTTCACACTCGTCTCTATGTCGTACAGGTGGAGCTGAGGAGGAAGGAGGAGGCAAATTAAGTCAAACGTGTGGTAGCTTGTTTTTCTAATCTGTGTGAGAATATCTAGACGATGAAAGGTTTCAGACCATTTTTAGGCCACATAGAATGAACATTTGATACCTCTTTCACAATCAGAACAGAAATGGAAGTCAGTGGGGTGGATATGGCCTAGAATAATTCAATCTGCCAAGGCATTTATGTTTTCTGTTATCTTACTTTCTGCCGATGGGTTATGGAACATATACTGGCCCTTGTTTCATGAAACTAGGTGTAAAGCTGTAGCAAGGGCCAGCAAAGAACCCAGTCATTTTGTGATGTTCTACCAATTTTTTTCAGTTACCGAAACAGCCAATGGAAAGACTCGAGTCAGCGCTCTCCAAATGCTCGTCTAGTTACTCAATATATCACATTGTTTTAGTACTTTACAGCAGTATGAGACAATACTTTCCCGTTCATCTGTTTGAATAAAATGCATAAATGTAACTCCTGCAGCACAATGAACATTCAAGTTCCACTTTTAGTTATTATCTCTGTCAGCTAGCAATCACATACAACAACATAGCTGCCAGTTTCACGTTGATTCAACAGAACTGATCAATCTTCACCTCTTAGACTGGAGCCACACGAGAACGTTAACGCAAACGAACCGAATTCGATATCAAAAAAGTCTTCCGTCCACACGCAATAGGCACCAGAAACGTGCCCGTTCACACCATGGATGTATAATAAGAACTGGATACAGCGTGGGAGGCGGGGCCTCGTTCATTCCTATGACAGAACTGCTCATTGGCGCATGAAGACAAAATGGCCCAACTTTTGAGAGAGCGAAACGTCACGAAAGTATTCATATAATCCGTTCTTATTGTGCATCCATGGGTAAAGGTGAAACTCATGTAGTACTGAACACGTCACATGAACGTTCCCGTTGGTTAGATGCACGTTCATAATACCGAGGGAAATAACTCTCAGAATAACGTTATTAGCACATTTTACAACTTGAGGACCGAATGTTTTTAATAAGGGCTTTACAAACGTTCATACTGGGTAGTTTATTTAGTTTAAAAAAAATGATCCAACGAGTTACAGACGTCTCTTTCCCAATGTTAGTCAATGGGAAAAAGTATTTCCGGGCCCAGCGACTGACTGTGTAGTACCGCCGTTTGGCCACTACGAATATTTTCCTCAGAGTCCGGCGCACTTCCTGGGGGCTGAGACCGCTCGAAAGCGCTGGAGACGCTGTAGTACATATGCCGGGCCTGTAAGTGGCGCTGTACTTCTGCCACAAAATACACCAAGAGCAGCGAAGAAGACTTCCCGCATGGTTCCCATGGTTGCCCCTCCGTAAGAAAGCTAATTAATATATTGGCTTTTATCCATTTGAATATTAGAGAGCCTTTAGAGTTCACTGACAGATCATATATATAATGTAAGAGCCAGTATTCCACTGTGTTTCTGGATAGGCAGATTCTGTAGTAAAAAGTACAGTGTCCTTTCTTTCCAACCCCCTCTCTTGTAAAGTTAAAGTTCACATAGAATAGTACAAGTACAAAAAAAAGTTGATTAACTCCCAGCAGCTCCCGGTGAATCCTCACGCTGCAATCTATTCCACTATCCTCCTGATGAGCCGAGATTATGTAGATTCTATAAGATACAGTGGCTCCCACAGCACTCAGTGTGTGTGTGTGTGTGTGTGTGTGTGTGTGTGGTGTGTGTGTGTGTGTGTGTGTGTGTGTGTGTGTGTGTGTGTGTGTGTATAGAGAGACCGCCCGCTGCTGTAATCAGCTTCTTTAATATCTTCCCCCCCACCATTTTTAATAAAGCCTCATCTATAGTTTCACCCTGGAGCTCTGCTGGTCGTGTTAATGCAGTGAGGATCGGCCGCCTGTTGATACGTTCCCTAGGAAGTGAGTTTCAATTACAGAAACATTTCTTATACAACTTCACTTCTTTGTTGATGGTGGGAATATGTGCTATAAATGTGAATATCCAAAAATGAGTAACAGTATAAATGCTTTTCAGGTCGTTAAAGACCCTTTCCTGTAGTGTGTTATATACGTTTTAGTGCATGTCTACAAAGTCTCCCTCCAGAGTCTCTATCCCCCCCTCCTGCTTGAAACGCCTCAATTGGACTACTTTGTTTTATTCTGGAACCTAATGACATCACTATGTAACAGTCACGCTCCTATTGGCTAGCGCTCCAACATATTGTACGTGATAGGCTAAGGGGCGGGACATCTCAAAGCGGTAGACCAATCACAACAGAGCCGGCCAGCTAACCAATCAGAGCAGACTGGGCTCTTAAAACCCACACACACACACACACACACACACACACACACACACACACACACACACTACACACACACACACACACACACACACACACACACACAACACACACACACACACACACACACACACACCACACACACACACACACACACACACACACACACACACACACACACACACACACACACACACACACACACACACACACACACACACACACACAACACACACACAACACACACACCACACACACACACACACACACACACACACAATCTATAAATTAATATAAATCAGAGTGCAGAAGAAATGTGAAGACACTGAGCGACTGCCAATTACAGAGCTCTCCGTGTGGTTGCCGCAGGCTTACGCGTCTAACTGCTTTGTTACCACAGGGCAACCTGCCAGCAGCTGTCTGACTGTCATCCTGCCAGCAGCTCCTTTAAAAACACTGATCATCTCAGTGCTGGAGAAATGGAAGTTAGTTCAAACAAACCAATACAAATTTGGTAACAAATGAAAATAGACATTGCTTTGTTTAAAAAGGGCACAAGCCAACATGTTGGGAACCCTTGCCTGAGAGGATGAAAACAACACTTCTCTGCCATTTGGGGGATTTGTTCTTTCTCTGCTGTTAACCTTGTTATTTGCCTCCTTGTCACTGATTCAATGGTAAAGCAGCACCATTGGCTCCTCACAAATTCCAATTCAACTGTGTACTTGGACATAGATGGGTTGAAAGTGAAGTTCTCCTGAGACTTCTCATGCCTCCCCTGTGGCAAAGTGCATCCACATTTATTCTGAAACACTATTTCATCACCTGGATGACCACAAGACATTTATCTGGCTGATGGACGTTCCTATAACTTTAGTTGGACATTTTTCCACTTGACTTCACTAATCATGATCCGAACCATCATCTGTCCCCTCTGCCTTCAGGCTCCCTCAGGAGGGTTTAATCCTCACCCGCAGCTTCTTGTCCCTGAACAGCAGCTTGCGTCCGGTCTCGTTCAGCTCCAGCCAGTCGATCTTGGAGTTTTGGTTGATGGTTCCCAGATTGTAGCCACCGGCCAAGTCCACTGAGAGGAGAAACATCAGGTTAGCTGAGCAGCAGAGAGACGGCCAGTGTCACAACGCATGTGGCTAGAATTTGACTTTTATCCTGGTAATCAGTCAGTGACTTTATAACACAGGGTGTCTGCAGGAATCCTGAAGTCACATGTAAAACCTTTTAAGACCTTTTTTAAGACCCTTTCCAAACATTTTAAGACCTCATCTCCACTTGGAGTTCTAACCGGTTACCTTGGCGACACACTTTACCTCACATTGACTATATACAGTATTGATTGTCCTTCCTCCTTATCTTCCAACCATTTGGACGCAGACTTGCATTTCCCATAACGATGTTGTTTAACAACCGGCGTAAACGGACCTGCGCGCTATCAAGCAGTGAGCGTGCGATGTCCGGTTCAGATGACGTCAAACCCAACGGGATGCCATCAATAAACTACACAGAATCACACTACACACCTACGCCATGATTACATTCAGGCAGACTGCAGAACACAACCTCTTTGGACCATTTATATACTTATTGAAAACAAGCTACAACATTTAAAACCTTGGAAAATGCCGTTTAATATTTTTAATAGCCTTAATTTTCTCTAAATTGATTTATCCACTTGTAATACTTTTTAAAACCCGCGGACCCCCTGAATATATCTACTTTAAACATATACCAGTTTAACTTTTATAATTAGAAGGCCTGCAACTAAAGAGTGTTTTCACTTTCAATCAATCTGCTGATTATTTTCTAGAGTAAGACATAAGAACATATTGGAAAATGTCCGTCCCAGTTGTTAAGTTCAATCGTTACATGTCGTATTGTTGTATAGTCTGATGGTATAAGCAGAACATCTCCATTTTAAGAGGATAAAAACCGCATTTTCTGCATTATTCCTTCTTATTCATTACTTAGGTGATTCATTGATGATCAACACACGCTGGTCATTATCAAGTTATCTTATTATAAGTCTGGTGATACGTCAACTTTCTGTCCACTCACTGGAAGAAATACAGATGAATCAATCTAAAACACGCCTACTGCAGTTCAGTCAAAGAAGCCACACCAAAGTCGAACTGCATCCAAAGTTTACTTCAAGTACAGAAAGTAAAAGTACTCATTATGCAGAGCGGCGTACATCAGAGTAATGTGTTGTCCATTATGCAATCCTCCGTGCGGATGCAATAATGTGTTAATGACTTTAATGCTTCAGATGGGAATCGTTTTAATTACTTTAAATGCTTATAAAGTGCTGGGTGAATGTGAATTTCCCCCCGTGGATCAATAAAGTCAAACATTATCCTATATAACTATGATCATGGTTTTAAATGACCAACTTTTTCCAAAGCACACTAGGCCTGAATTTAACTTCTACCCTTATTCTATATGTGTTTTATGATACATTTGGTATTTACAATGTATGTGATTGTTGTATATTTGAACTTTTAGGGTCTTTTTGGGTCTTTTAAATACAAGGCAAGACAAGTGTTCTACCATACCCTAACACATGCTTTATATTTCTTTCATGTGATTTGTATTTATGTACGTACAAAAAAATAAACTTAAAATATATTTCCTGATTATTTTATGTATCATCGATCTGAATGTGCAATGCAACCAGTAACTTAAAGGGGACCTATCGTGCAAAATGCACTTTGTGATGTCTTCTCTCCATCAACATGTGTCCCCGGTGTGTCTGGGAACTCACGCAGCGTCAGAAAATAAAAGCCTCTCTCTTTTCCTCCGTACCCAAATCTCTAAAAACGGGGAACAACGGAGCTGATCCAGATTTGCGTCCGATATGACGTAATATCTGAAATGTGGACCCACGGCCCAATCAGAAACGTTGCTATCAGAAACAATGCCCGACTGTTTTGGATGTAATATGGTCGGTGTTTACATTAGCATCGCTAACACTCAGAGCTAACCTGTACTGGAGAGCATGTGTGTGAAGAAGCAGGAAGTAAAAAGGAACTCACCTTGTGGTATAACCAGCAAGAGAGAAAGCCTTTGAGCTCCAAACTGTTTCAGAGAGAATCCTTGACAATCCATGATATGGCGTTTCATCACGGCAGCATTTAGTTTAGACAGTAGCTGCCGGGTCCCGCATGAGCTCAGCCCCCTCCTTTTTTAAAGCTTTATTCCCCAAATCAGCACTTTTGAAACAGGAAGTGAAATAGAGGGATATAGACATGTTTTTTATATATCTGAGACCTATGCTATTGCCTAGAAATAGCATGATAGGTGACCTTTAAGGTATAATATATACATTTAGAGAAGTAAAAAGTGTAATAAAGAGTATTTTAGTGGAGTACATGTATAAAGTAGAAGAAAAGGGAAATAGAAAAAGTAGCTAAGAAATGTAAGTAAATTAAAATGGAAGTCCTTTAGATACTTTAGATCAATAACCATCCTAGCACTCCCACACCTCCTCACCAATACAGATGGTCTTTATATCGATGAGATAAGCCAGCTTCTTGTTGTCTTCCACTCCTCTCTGCTTCCCTCTCGTTAGTAGTCGGACACTGCAACACACACCACACACACACACACACCAAACACACACACACACACACACACACACACACACACACACACACACACCACACAACACACACACACACACACACACACACACACACACACACACACACACACACACACACACACACACACACACACACACACACCACACACACACACACACACACCACACACACACACACACACACACAACCACACACACACACACACACACCACACACACACACACACCCACACACACACACACACACACACACACACACACACACACACACACACACACACACACAACTTTAGTAAACAATAATCGTTCTACACTAACATAGTGTCCTGAAACCGTGTCACTCTTCTCTACATACTTCTCTGAATAGTATGTAGATACCCTGAGCTCTGCACAGCTCAATACTGCCCTCTAGTGGACAGAGCTGGAAATACATTGTCTGTAAGGAATGATCAGGGACTTATTTAAGTGTTAGCAGAGACTGCATTTAAACTGTATGTTTATTAATTGAGCATTTTCATGTGGTTGATATTTGATTAAAAAAATATTCAGCTTAGAAGGTTTTAATAACATTGACTTAATTAATTTCATAAACATTTTCCTACATCTAACACTTTCCTTGGATTAGTAATCTTGTTGAAAACATTTTTTAGCATCTGAAACTGGAATAAAAAAGTCTAAATATGACTGTTCTGAATTTGAAAAAGTAGTAAAGCTAAACTAAAGTGAACACCTTTTGCCGTAGCACCACACTTGTTTAATTCAGGTTGATAAAAATGGTCAATTTCTCCTTTTTGTGGCATTACCGGCTTATTTAGCAGAACTCCTCCATCGCTACACCCCAGCCAGAGCTTTAAGGTCTGCTGACCAGCTGCTGCTGATAGAGCCCAAGACCAGGCTCAAAACCCGAGGGCACGAGCCTTCGCAGCAGCTGGCCCCAGGCTCTGGAACACTCTGCCCCTCCATGTGAGGTCGGCCCAGACCCTAGGGGTTTTTAAATCAACGCTAAAGACTCACTTCTTCTCCCTGGCCTTCAGAGCGGAGCACGACTCCTGACTTTTCCCTGTGTGTGATCTTTTATTTTTGCGGTTGTAATTTGTTGTCTTCTGTTTGCTATTGTAGTAAAGTGTTTTTATTGCATGTACAGCACTTTGGCTCGACCAAAAATCGTTATATAAATAAAACTTGATTGGATTTGATTATTATAATTCATAGGAAAACTCTCAGTTGAGCAAACCAGTCAAACCTGTTGAGGTCTTTCCTCTTAACTTGGAAAAGGTGTGTTTGATTCGTGTACCTACCTGATGAGGTGAGGGTTCATGAATTCGGTTCTGACTGATCCCAGGATCTCATTGCTGCTGTACTCCACCAGGCTCAGCTCCCCAGCGTTAAAGATCATACACACCTGGAACATGACACACAGAATATTAAAACATGAGCCGTCTGAGGCAAAGACCTCGTCCTGCAGCGGTGCTGTGACTGTATCCTCTCATTTATTTCTCTCCCTCTATCGAGTACGGTAGGGGTGTCAAACTCAAGGCCCGGGGGCCAAATCCGGCCCGCTACTTCATTGTATGTGGCCCACAAGAGCTTGCAAAGAATATAATACGTTTATTATGAGGTTACGTGCCCATAAACTACATGTCCCACAATGCATCACATTTTGTGAGATGCGCACTGAAGAGACTTACAATTACTTGCAATTATTGGCCCTAGACTTCTGCTTTCAGACGTAGTTAATTATGAAGTATTACCCTATCTGATAATAATCCAATGCAGAGGTAATATTGTAAAATAATACATTATTTGATATATATATTTATCTATGTATATTTATCTTGTCTTAAAGTTACCAACAGCCTTTTGAGTGCAAGCATAATTCTAATGTGGCCCGCAATGACATTGAGTTTGACACCCCTGGAGTACGGTCTTGCAAATGCTGTACCTTTCATTAGAAAGCAGATGGTGTATGCGTCTTGGATTTTCATGTTAAAAAAGAACCTGAATGTGTGAACTTACAGATTCATTTTCAAAGAAGAACTTTTCGTTTCCCCCAGATCCGGGCCACGCCACCTGAGAGAGGAACAGAGGAAAGGCTTATGTTAAAAACAAATGATGAATTAACCCTCTGAGACCCACGCGGCCGAATAAGATCCCAATATCACGTTGTGTTCAAAGCGTCATCACTCCTCAGCTGTTTCAGCCAGAGACAGGCCGTGTTGTTCCTCTTAAACCACAGACACAACTCTGTTAACTTTTCATCATCATGTGTAGTCTTGACAACAAAAAAGACAATTCCTGGCACAAGAACGCCCATGGACACTGCCCAAAAGAATGGGCATAACTAATGAACAGAAGAAGTTAGAATCAGTTCTGATACAATGATAATAAATGTGTGCAATTGTCTGTGTTGAATGTTTTTTTCAATGTTATGGTTAGCAGTTCTTTTTAATGAAATAAGTGCAAAATTCAAGCTCCGTTTTAAAGAAAAGGCAAATATCCCATATTATATTGCATATACGTCTCTCATGAGTGACATATATCAGGTTGTGCTGATTTCTGGGATGTGTAAAACTTTATTATACTGAAAATAAAGGACAATTTATAAGGCAAAACACAAACATTTGCAAAAACAGAAATGTCCTATGTGGGTGTCAGAGGGTTAAACACAATGAGGAATCATGTTTGACTGAATACTCCATTACAAGTAAAAAAGTCCGACATTCAAAATCTCGCTTGAGTAAAAGTGCAGAAGTATTACAATGTACTTAAAGTATCAAAAGTAATATTTACTGTTTTCAGTTCTGATACACAAATTACTGACTTTTAAGACTTCAAAAGAAAACCATTTTGCAATATATTTTCACCTTTTTGTACCTAAAACTACTATTTCAATTATTCTGAATACCAACTAAAGCTGTACAATGGATGTAGTCAATAAAAAAATACACCTTTTCCCCTTTAAAGCAGAGAAGTAGAACTTTAGAGTAAAGCATTACATGGAAACATTCAAGTACAAATACTTCAAAATGGTATTTAAGTACAGGATTTGAGTAAATGTACTTAGTTACTTTCCAGCACTGTACAGTAAATCCAGAATATAGTGAGGTCTTTGGATAATTCTTAATTTGGACACCACATTCAAAATCACATACATCACGCTTGGTGCAGCATAACATGTAGAAGAGTCAGATACTGCATCAACTAAGCACAGTGGTGTAAAGTAACTAAGTAGATTTAATCAAGTACTGTGGTTAAGTACAATGTTGAGGGACTTTACTTATTCTGAAATGGACCAATCTGCACAATGACTACTTTTACTGTCGCTACTTTAACTATATTTTGATGAGAATACTTTTATACTTTCACTTGAGTAACATTTTGAATGCAGGACTTTTACTGTAACAGAGTATTCCTATACTCTGGTACTTCTACTTTTACTCAAGTACAAGATCTGAGTACTTCTACTTTTACTCAAGTACAAGATCTGAGTACTTCTACTTTTACTCAAGAACAAGATCTGAGTACTTCTACTTGTACTCAAGAACAAGATCTGAGTACTTCTACTTTTACTCAAGTACAAGATCTGATTACTTCGACTTTTACTCAAGTACAAGATCTGAGTACTTCTACTTTTACTCAAGTACAAGATCTGAGTACTTCTACTTTTACTCAAGTACATGATCTGATTACTTCTACTTTTACTCAAGTACAAGATCTGAGTACTTCTACTTTTACTCAAGTACAAGATCTGATTACTTCGACTTTTACTCAAGTACAAGATCTGAGTACTTCTACTTTTACTCAAGTACAAGATCTGAGTACTTCTACTTTTACTCAAGAACAAGATCTGAGTACTTCTACTTTTACTCAAGTACAAGCTCTGAGTACTTCTACTTTTACTCAAGTACAAGCTCTGAGTACTTCGACTTTTACTCAAGTACAAGATCTGAGTACTTCTACTTTTACTCAAGTACACGATCTGAGTACTTCTACTTTTACTCAAGAACAAGATCTGAGTACTTCTACTTTTACTCAAGTACACGATCTGAGTACTTCTACTTTTACTCAAGAACAAGATCTGAGTACTTCTACTTTTACTCAAGAACAAGCTCTGAGTACTTCTACTTTTACTCAAGTACACGATCTGAGTACTTCTACTTTTACTCAAGAACAAGCTCTGAGTACTTCTACTTTTACTCAAGTACACGATCTGAGTACTTCTACTTTTACTCAAGAACACGATCTGAGTACTTCTACTTTTACTCAAGTACACGATCTGAGTACTTCTACTTTTACTCAAGAACAAGCTCTGAGTACTTCTACTTTTACTCAAGTACACGATCTGAGTACTTCTACTCAAGAACAAGATCTGAGTACTTCTACTTTTACTCAAGTACACGATCTGAGTACTTCTACTTTTACTCAAGAACAAGCTCTGAGTACTTCTACTTTTACTCAAGTACACGATCTGAGTACTTCTACTTTTACTCAAGAACAAGATCTGAGTACTTCTACTTTTACTCAAGTACACGATCTGAGTACTTCTACTTTTACTCAAGAACAAGCTCTGAATACTTCTACTTTTACTCAAGTACACGATCTGAGTACTTCTACTTTTACTCAAGAACAAGATCTGAGTACTTCTACTTTTACTGAAGTACACGATCTGAGTACTTCTACTTTTACTCAAGTACACGATCTGAGTACTTCTACTTTTACTCAAGTACACGATCTGAGTACTTCTACTTTTACTCAAGAACAAGATCTGAGTACTTCTACTTTTACTCAAGTACACGATCTGAGTACTTCTACTTTTACTCAAGTACAAGATCTGAGTACTTCTACTTTTACTCAAGTACAAGCTCTGAGTACTTCTACTTTTACTCAAGAACAAGATCTGAGTACTTCTACTTTTACTCAAGAACAAGCTCTGAGTACTTCTACTTTTACTCAAGTACACGATCTGAGTACTTCTACTTTTACTCAAGTACACGATCTGAGTACTTCTACTTTTACTCAAGTACACGATCTGAGTACTTCTACTTTTACTCAAGAACAAGCTCTGAGTACTTCTACTTTTACTCAAGTACAAGCTCTGAGTACTTCTACTTTTACTCAAGAACAAGATCTGAGTACTTCTACTTTTACTCAAGAACAAGCTCTGAGTACTTCTACTTTTACTCAAGAACAAGATCTGAGTACTTCTACTTTTACTCAAGAACAAGATCTGAGTACTTCTACTTTTACTCAAGTACACGATCTGAGTACTTCTACTTTTACTCAAGTACACGATCTGAGTACTTCTACTTTTACTCAAGTACACGATCTGAGTACTTGTCCCACCACTAAGCAGATGAACTCAAACTGATGTGTCGCCAGATATAGATCGAGTTGTACCTCGCTCAGCTTGTTTGTCAGCAGGTCTCCCAGCAGCAGCGTGTCGGAGGTGTGAGCCACCAGGAAGCGGTCCTTTCCCATGATCTTCACTTCCTCTATCTCATACCCGTAGTGAGACTTCAGCACCACTCGCATTCCTGAGGAGAGGTTCCTCACGATCACCTGGAGGAGGGAACATCAACAGACACGTGGAGAATAAGGACAAAGACCAAATAAATAACTTGTGAAATTCCTTTCTCAGTTATTTTGAAGAACATTGTCATTTCCCATATTCTTGTAAATGTCAAATACAGGTATAAAGCTATTTCATTTAACAAAACATCCTCATGCTGCGTTCACACCGGACGCGATGTTTGGGGGCGCCGCAATTACATGTAAAGTCAATGCAGAGACGCGGACAGACGCGAATTCACTTCGACGGCGAGCATGAAGCGGTCGATGAGAATGGAGGGGGCCGCGACAACCGCTCGAGTTCAATTTGACTTGTACTAGTTATTCCACCACCTTTGGTTTCTTTGTTGCAGACAAATCATTAGGTATGAAGGAATGGTTGAGCTATGTTGAAATACAATAATCTCAACGTGGAGAAAGCCAAATTAAAGATGAGGCCATGTTGTTCATTTGAATTTTACGAATGAAAAGATGGCAAATTTAACGACGAAGACGAAACTATGTTTAAGAAGTTCTTAATCAGGGTGTCTGCAGGAATCCTGAAGTCACATGTAAAACCTTTTAAGACCTTTTTTAAGACCCTTTCCGTACATTTTAAGACCTCATCGCCACTTGGAGTTCTAACCGGTTACCTTGGCGACACACTTTACCTCACATTGACTATATACAGTATTGATTGTCCTTCCTCCTTATCTTCCAACCATTTGGACGCAGACTTGCATTTCCCCATAACGATGTTGTTTAACAACCGGCGTAAACGGACCTTCGCGCTATCAAGCAGTGAGCGTGCGATGTCCTGTTCAGATGACGTCAAACCCAACGGGATGCCATCAATAAACTACACAGAATCACACGACACACCTACGCCATGATTACATTCAGGCAGACTGTAGAATACAACCTCTTTGGACCATTCATATACTTATTGAAAACAAGCTACAAAATGTAATACCTTGGAAAATGCCGTTTAATATTTTTTAATAGCCTTCATTTTCTCTAAATTGATTTATCAACTTGTAATACTTTTTAAGACCCCGCGGACCCCCTGTAATAGATTAATTTACTCCACAGTTACATACATGTATTTACTGAATGAGCTCTTTTACAACAGTCAGTTAACTCAGAGTCAAATAAGCCTCTAGGCGCTGTCACACCAGGCAGACTCACTCACAGCAGGAAATAATACATGTGGCTAATGAACCGGAAATGTAATTACACATTTCTCGTGAATGCATCCGTCATAATCTTATCAAATATGTTTTACATCAAATATGATTTAAAAACCTCCCTTTAAATCTCCATGAAATGCAGCAATGAATAACACATCTAGAAGGTTCTGTGATTGTTATGAAGCCGTCATTTCTGTTGTCCCTTTCTATGAAATTGAGATTATGGAATGCTTTTTGCACTTTAATTATTTAAATCAGATTTATGTTGTATTTTATAATGAACTGGCTGTTTTTATAATGTGTATTGTCAGAAGTAAATGACTTAATTGGTCATGAGTTGTTCTCATTGTTTGTGCGATTAAAGAAACAGTTCTGTGTTTCAGACATTAATATTTTACAATATGTTTTGCCTCTACCTGGCTCAGACCCACGTAGGTCATCTCAAACTTGTTTTTATAGATGGTTCTCCGCAGGCAGCAGTCAAACAGCTCCACTCCACCACACAGAGTTCCCTATGAACACACAAACACACAATAACACATCAAACAACATTTACTTTGATACGTATGTGTGGTTTGTTTTTAACAGAGGGAATAACTGGTATAAAGTCGCACGATTCAATGTCATAGTTAGCTGTTAAATACACGTCTAACACCAGGTAACATAAGGGATCAGAAAGAGAACATACATGCATGCACATTCAAATACTGTCCACATCCACATTGAAGACACACTAAGAGAATCTTTTGACAATTATTGAACATTTTCTTGTACATCTTCAATTTAATTCATAAAGACACCAGCAAACGTATCTCAAAAAGGATTTATATAATGATAGAAATATTCCCTTGTTCCAAATAACAGCCAGCATTGAGTTTCCTTTATTTAAATGTGTGGAATCCAATAATAATCCAAACATGTGATAAATAAATAGGGTATTTACCGCACAGAGGCGCGATCCGTCTTTCTTCCAGGCCAGGCTGGTGATGGTGTACAGGTTGAGGATCTCTTTGGGCTTCGCTTCATCCCACACTCCTCTCCTGGGAGCCCAGTTGAACACCCGCAGCCTACAGGAAGATACAGGGACAGAATCCATGTGTTGCATTCTATTTATAAAGTCCAATATCCGGAATAACACATTATTTATTCCAAGGCGGCTTTGAAGTGCGTGCAGAATACAACTACCCTCTTTCTTTAGACCAGGGGTGTCAAACTCAAGGCCCGGGGGCCAAATCCGGCCCGCCACTTCATTGTATGTGGCCCACAAGAGCTTGCAAAGAATATAATACGTTTATTATGAGGTTACGTGCCCATAAACTACATGTCCCACAATGCATCACATTTTGTGAGATGCGCACAGAAGAGACTTACAATTACTTTCAATTATTGGCCCTAGACTTCTGCTTTCAGACGTAGTTAATTATGAAGTATTACCCTATCTGATAATAATCCAATGCAGAGGTAATATTGTAAAATAATACATTATTTGATATATATTATATATATTTATCTATATATATTTATCTTGTCTTAAAGTTACCACCGGCCCTTTGAGTGCAAGCATAATTCTAATGTGGCCCGCAATGACATTGAGTTTGACACCCCTGCCTTAGACCCTCGCAGTAACAAGGAAAATCTCCCAGACACCTAAATGTTTACAGGAAAAAGTGTTTGGGAACCTCAGGGAGAGCGACAGACGGACAGACGTGCGATAGGTGTTGGGTATATAGGCTAAAAAGTTAATGAAATAACAACATAGACAAATGACAAAGTTGATTTGAATTGATGTTAACTTATATATAAAAAAGATGGATCCAGGAGGATGTCAGAAATCGGTGTTGATAAGAAAAGAAAAGTGGGAGTCAGGCAGGAGTTGCAGTCACAGCAACAGAAACAACGATCTGAACCCTTACAGATGATCTGAGTGTCGTACATGGCACCTGATGTGGCCTTTGTGATCGAGTTAGACATCCCAGTACAGTCTGTAAACGATCATGTACTGACCGGTCAAAGCTGCCGAACACGACGGACTGTCCGCTGGGGCTGGTGACGGCCACGGTGAACTCCTTCTCCGTGCGGTCGCGGCTGTACTCGAAGGTCTGCAGGACGTGCCCCTCTCTGCCGTACGCCACCACCCTCTTATCACAGCCGCCCACCATGATGCTGTTCGCTGCCCAGGCCAGAGCGTAGGGGGGGCACGGGTGCACCAGCAGCTTCCCCTGCGTCACAGTGGAGGAGTTAGTCTGAGAGGAACATTTAAAGGTGCCCTATTATACTGTTCTTCATCAATATATCACAGCTCTCAGATATATACAGAACCTGTCTCTGATTGGCTGAAACACCAAACAGATCATTGCAGCATTACCCATAATCCCCTCTGTTTCAGCCCTGTTTCCAAAGTGCTGATTCTCTGTCTGTTACTTTAGATGAAAATAAGGAGCCCCTCCCCACGCCCCTCTTGCCCCTTTCACACCAGCGCTTTTTCAGCTCCGGCTCAGAGCTGGACAGTAGCGTGGGGTGGGGAAAAATGTAGGGGAAGCCAATGTTTTTGGGTCGGGGGGGGTGGTCAATAACGTAACCAGATGAGTGATTACAGCGCCCGGTAACATTTTACACACATTTGTATCATACAGATGCAGGACTTGTACACGCCTGTTATCTAAGCGACAGGTCCGCATGCACTCTCCAGCTGAAACTCTCTCGTCTTATTAATTTAAGCATTTTCTTATTAATTTAAGCATTTTCTTATTAATTTATGCCAACCTCCCCCCACCAATGCAATACCAGCCGCTCAATGCGCAGTGCAGATTCGGTAATTAATAAATAAGAAGCATTCATTCACAAACTAAATCAGGAGACCTTTAAAGTTTTACGTTCACATCAAAGTATCAGTATGCGTTGTGTTGATAATGGACGAGACCCGCCGAGTCAGCGTAAAGTTGAGACGATCTCTGTTTAATGTCTGAATCTGATAACAGATAAAATGATCAGTTTTACATACATTTCCCTCAGTGACTCCTCTCATTGCTTGGAACGTTTACAAAAAGGGAAGAGGAAACGTGAGGGACACAATATATACAAAAAGTAAAATCACAAAGAAAGGAAATTAAAGTCCTCACAACAATAAACTCCTGAGCACAGCTCTCCGACCTTGCCAGGTATTTAACATTCAATAAAATGAAGAACACAGAATACAATAATATAAAACACAGAATGTGTGTGATTATACAAAATTAAATTAAATAAACCCCACTGCATATTTACATCTGTTACACTAACACACACGGCAAGTGCAGCAACAGTCCTCGTCTCTGTAATTAGTTCAGTCCGTAGTCCAAAAGTAACACAACAATATAAACAATCTCATCTATTCAGGGGATCGGGCCCTATATGGCATGCTATCTGCGGTGCTGATTTTCGGATAGCAGCACCCTGTGCTAATTAAACAACTGCAATAAAACAACTACTTCAGACTGAACACCTGCAGCTAAATCCAGGCAAGCAATGCACAATAACCAACAGAACCACATCAGATATTGCACACATAGCTACACGGGCAGTTCAGGCAACAGGTATGCACAGAGAGAAAGGGGTGTGCATTTCACTCACCCTATTTGAAGAGGAAGGCCATTCTCCTGTCTTTCATGGTAGCGAAGTGGTCAATAACAATGTCATAGAACTTCCCAGCGGCCTTTAGGTCCTCCACAACAACAGAGTCAATGGATATTGTGGCTAGGTTGACAAGTCTGTCCTGTCCACACGTGTTCCTCAGATACGTTTTGATCCTTTTTAGACAGGAAAAGGAGCGCTCTGCTGATGTGCTGGTGGCTGGTATCGTGAGCATGAGCTGGAGCAGCTTGTAGACCTCGGAGAGTGTGCCCTGTAGGTCATCCTCAATAAGAAGCTGTATCAGCTCTCCTGGTGGCTTGTGAAACAACCTGTTGTTGTACAGCGTGTGCAGCTCATTCCTTAACTTCTGCTCATCAAAGAATGGATACGTGTTGATCAGCTGAGCCAGCTCACTGCTGGGAAATGCATCAGGGTTGCAGAACGATGTGAATGATGTGTGTTCCAGTATCCGAAAAAAGTGCAGGTGCTCCATATCTGCAAATCTTTGGGTCATGTGCAACACTATGCCGTCAACAATCTGGAAGTAAAGACGCCGGAAAGACACAACCGTTTCCTCGTCTCCTTCTTGGTGCTGGTTAAACCCTTGCTCCAGGTCGTCCCAGCCGCGGCGACGTCGTTTACGTCGGGGCACAGGATCGCCGACTGCTTTGACCGTGTCATCGTAAATGCGACTGAATGTCTCATCTGTTCTTGTGGCTTTGAGAGCGCTGAGAGTGCTCATGATCCGATCCTGGCATTTTTTTATGTCCGCAAGTGCTCCGCGAGTGCAGTGTCAAACTCTGCAAATGCACGTACCAGCTCTACAAAATTGCCCCTGTTAGAGCTGCCAGCGGCCTCATTGTGTCCCCTGAATGCTTGCTCTTGACCTGCAAGGTACAGGGCAGCAATGATGAGTTTCCTCAGAATATCCCGGGTTCTTTTTTACTTGTTCGTTGTGCTTCTTTGTGCTAATGGTTCTTGCTACATCCAGAGCCTCGTCAATCCTGACGCGTCCAAAAAGCTTTAATTTCACAGCACAATCTATATGATTTTTAGATTTACCGTGCCTCTCAATTGCCCGTGACAGGTTGGCAAGGTCGATGAATCCTGAAGTTGCCCAAGGATTGTTCAGGGAGCACGAACCCTTGTCAAAAAGAAGACATGGCCAGCAAAATAGACGCTGAAGTTTAGCGCTTCCAGTTAGCCACTCCGTGCGGACATAATTGTCCTCATTGAACGTCCGATTAGATCCCTTATTCCTCTGTGTACACACAGCTCGAGTGTGGGCGTTGTCCTGCCATCTGCTTTAATGTTTAGTTGCTGCTGTAGCGGAAGTTTAGTGAAGTTATGCTTAATTAAGTACGCCAAATCTCCTCCCTCCATAATGCTTCATTTGCTTGATCATTTCTAACGGCGGTGATGACAGTTACAGTATTCAAATTGATGTTGATGTGATTGGATGGCAGTGTCCAATCAAATCGCCAGCCGCCAGCCGCCCCTGAAGGGAAGCTAGAGGCGGCTGGCTTCCCCTGGCATGGCCCTGACCAATCACAGGTTGGCAGGGGCATCACGTGGGCCTTATCTGATTGGTTAATCCCTCAATTTTTTTTCACCAAGGGAAGCTAGATTCTGCTGGCCTCCTCTCGCAACAGTGAATGCAATCTACTGTTTCACCATGACATCTAGAGGGGCGCTGTTTCACTCTTTGTAAAATACTCAATGAGAATGGGGGAGAGACGGAGAGACGGTCCGGCAGGAACACACAGGAAAGTAGAATTACAGAAACAAAACAAAGTGTTTTTATTTATTTATTTAAGTTATAACTACAATCCGAAAAAACAGGGGAAGCCTGGCTTCCCTTGGCCTCCGGGAGAAAACGCCACTGGAGCTGGAGCTGAAAAAGCGCCGGTTTTTCCTGTTCACACCGCAGCGGCGCCGGCTCTTAGCTCCGGAATCCGGTTCACTTCCAGCTCCAAAAAATTGTCGGTCTAGAGGCAAGAGCTTCGGAGCTAAGAGGTGGGGTCGCTTACGTCTCTCTTACGTCGAGGCGTGCAGGAAACTAAACCCACCTCCCCTGAACATGGGTCGACTGTCATGCCTGCCTACAAGCAGTAGTGCTTATAAACATACTTTATAAAGTCAGGCAACACTAACCAGGCTTCGTGTGATTCTGTTTATTTGTACCTTACTTTGACCATCCGTTCTCTGTTATTGATCATTGTGGAGAGAGGCAGACGTTTTGTATTATAGCAGCTATCGGATGGAATCAATACATGGGCTGCACAGGTTGTCGTTCGACTATCACAAGTAGAATCATAATAAAAATACGCCGGTAAAATGTGCCTGTAGAAAACGGTTTATGCCACAATAGGATAGCAATAGCAAGTAGTCAGTTTAGCTTCGGTTGCTATGCTAACATCACCCATTTTATACCAGAGAAACTTTCATAACAGCGTTGTGATACCAAACAGCGTCAATTCAGACTGACACACATTCACTTAGGCTAAGGGGAACTGGGGATATGTATCAGCTGCTTGTGTGTTAGGGTTACACAAGACAAAACATCGTTATGACATCACAAAGTGGCCCAAATCTGATCAGCTCATTTTCAGGCAGGTTTTTATAGAAATGGATCAAAAAGAGAGAGAATCTTTGTTCCTGAAACTTTCAGAGTCTCTTTCCACAGAGGGGACACATGTTGATGTAGAAGAGACATGAAGAAGAGGGGACACATGTTGATGTAGAAGAGACATGAAGAAGAGGGGACACATGTTGATGTAGAAGAGACATGAAGAAGAGGGGACACATGTTGATGTAGAAAAGACATGAAGAAGAGGGGACACATGTTGATGTAGAAGAGACATGAAGAAGAGGGGACACATGTTGATGTAGAAGAGACATGAAGAAGAGGGGACACATGTTGATGTAGAAGAGACATGAAGAAGAGGGGACACATGTTGATGTAGAAGAGACATGGAGAAGAGGGGACACATGTTGATGTAGAAGAGACATGAAGAAGAGGGGACACATGTTGATGTAGAAGAGACATGAAGAAGAGGGGACACATGTTGATGTAGAAGAGACATGAAGAAGAGGGGACACATGTTGATGTAGAAGAGACATGAAGAAGAGGGGACACATGTTGATGTAGAAGAGACATGAAGAAGAGGGGACACATGTTGATGTAGAAGAGACATGAAGAAGAGGGGACACATGTTGATGTAGAAGAGACATGAAGAAGAGGGGACACGTGTTGATGTAGAAGAGACATGAAGAAGAAGGGACACATGTTGATGTAGAAGAGACATGAAGAAGAGGGGAACACGTGTTGATGTAGAAGAGACATGAAGAAGAGGGGACACATGTTGATGTAGAAGAGACGTGAAGAAGAGGGGACACATGTTGATGTAGAAGAGACATGAAGAAGAGGGGACACATGTTGATGTGGAAGAGACATGAAGAAGAGGGGACACATGTTGATGTAGAAGAGACATGGAGAAGAGGGGACACATGTTGATGTAGAAGAGACGTGAAGAAGAGGGGACACATGTTGATGTAGAAGAGACATGAAGAAGAGGGGACACATGTTGATGTAGAAGAGACATGAAGAAGAGGGGACACATGTTGATGTAGAAGAGACATGAAGAAGAGGGGACACATGTTGATGTAGAAGAGACATGAAGAAGAGAGGACACATGTTGATGAAGAAGAGACATGGAGAAGAGGGGACACATGTTGATGTAGAAGAGACATGAAGAAGAGGGGACACGTGTTGATGTAGAAGAGACATGAAGAAGAGGGGACACATGTTGATGTAGAAGAGACGTGAAGAAGAGGGGACACATGTTGATGTAGAAGAGACATGAAGAAGAGGGGACACATGTTGATGTGGAAGAGACATGAAGAAGAGGGGACACATGTTGATGTAGAAGAGACATGGAGAAGAGGGGACACATGTTGATGTAGAAGAGACATGAAGAAGAGGGGACACATGTTGATGAAGAAGAGACATGAAGAAGAGGGGACACATGTTGATGTAGAAGAGACATGAAGAAGAGGGGACACATGTTGATGTAGAAGAGACATGAAGAAGAGGGGACACATGTTGATGTAGAAGAGACATGAAGAAGAGGGGACACATGTTGATGTAGAAGAGACATGAAGAAGAGGGGACACATGTTGATGTAGAAGAGACATGAAGAAGAGGGGACACATGTTGATGTAGAAGAGACATGAAGAAGAAGGGACACATGTTGATGTAGAAGAGACGTGAAGAAGAGGGGACACATGTTGATGTAGAAGAGACATGAAGAAGAGGGGACACATGTTGATGTAGAAGAGACATGAAGAAGAGGGGACACATGTTGATGTAGAAGAGACATGGAGAAGAGGGGACACATGTTGATGCAGAAGAGACATGAAGAAGAGGGGACACATGTTGATGTAGAAGAGACATGAAGAAGAGGGGACACATGTTGATGTAGAAGAGACATGAAGAAGAGGGGACACATGTTGATGTAGAAGAGACATGAAGAAGAGGGGACACATGTTGATGTAGAAGAGACATGAAGAAGAGGGGACACATGGTGATGTAGAAGAGACATGAAGAAGAGGATTTTGCAGAATAGGTGACCTTTAAAATACGGGAAATGTTTCAGCAACAGGTGTGTTGGTACCTGAGAGTCCCCCGAGCCTTCGTCATTAAAGAAGTAACGCACAACCGTCCCGTCAGCGTGGCCCGACAGGATGCCTTTACCAGAAACACTGAAACACACACACACACACAACACTGACTGTCACTGACTGAGTGTACCACAGAAGAAGAATATACTGTAAATACATGTGGCTTTGGCCTCTGGCATTTTGAAAAGACTGGGAATTGTTCTTCCCCCCATGATTAATAACTATCTGTGAGTGATAATTGTGCATTCATATTATATATATGTACTTGGATGCTAGTGAGACAACGCAGGACTCGGTGCCGTAGATGGTCGATGACTTGCTCGTCTGAGTGTTGGCGAGGCGAACCTATGGCAGGAAAAAAACATATATATTCATATTTTTTTAACATAAATTATTTCATTAATTATTTGACCCACTTTAAAATGCTGATATTAAGCAACACACACTACTGCTGTATCTACTCTCCTTCTGATACTTCTGTTTAATAAAATAAACAGTAATAAAAGCATTTAAATATTAATACATGATTAATACGTACCTTGCCATCCACTAATCCGTACACAATCGATTGATCTGCAGGCCAGAGCAAGCAAGTCACAGCGCTCTGCAACACAGAGGACACATGTTGCATTTCAAAGGTGAAATTCAATAGAAAAAATAGCTTTTCCAACACGCTTCAAACATTAAAGTCTGCACTCTAAGGAGGGAACCCAACCAATTACTTCAAAATCTACAATACAGCTATTACATTATATCAAATAAACACGCAAGCGACAGCAAGAACTATGGCAGCATTACTTGTTGCCTAATAGCTTTTACATATGATTGCAAACACTGTTAAATGTAATGTCGATTAAGACAAGAACACATACTGTACTTTTATCCAAAATGTATTTTTACACCACACCTCCTCCCAAAACAATGAGTTAACTTACCGTCTGAACAAATTTGTTGCAAATAGCTTTCTTGTCGCCCCTAGGAGAGAAAGTAAAAATGATTTGAATGCATCGATGTAGATAACACAATCCAGATTAATATGAGATATGAAAACAACCAAATGGACGTTACCAATCTTCTCCAATCCTGTACACGAAGATGATGTTGTCAGACTGGCCGATGGCGATTTTGGTGGAGTCAGGGGAGAACGCCATGTCGTTGACAACGTAGCTCTGTTTCCCATACTGACGAACAAATACATCGGATTAGTATTGACACAACACCTGTATATTAAATCAAAATACAATACAAAAAGGAATCATATTGCTGAGTGAAGAGAGTTATTTTGTGGATTAGGATTGCTTTCTTGGTTGAGAATCAGAATTCCTTTATTATTACAACAGCAGAAGTAAAGTGCAGATAAAGTAATGAGAATAGACTTGCATATTAATAAAATAAATAAATCATAAATCTTGTTAGAGGAACACAGCGTTACCATGAACATGATTTTAAAGGAATTAAAAAATGTGCTGATAGCAAAACCTTGTTATTTTTTTTTCTTTTACATTTTTGTTCTTGTTGTGCTGCGTGTTGGGTTTGGTATTGTTTGGTTTTCTGTGTGTTTAGCTTCATTTCTAGGGGTTTAAACTGATATAATGAGTGTTCCTTTATGTTTCCATCACCATTGTCTCACCTTGGAGTCCAGGGGTTTGGTGGAGAACTTGTCCCTCCTCTCCCCCTGCTCATCATAGATCAGCACCACCCGGTCCACGGTGCACACAGCGAACTTGGTGTTATTGGGAGCCCAGGCCATGCATGTCACTTTGGCAGCACTGTCCTGTGAAGAAAGGCAGATGAACAAAGTCAGAGGAGATCATTAACAGAGCATCTTTCATTAGCTAGTTGTAGCTAATCACAACCGGACACACAACCCGTTATCAGAATCAGAATCGAGTTTATTGCCAGGTACGATTGGACATTCAAGGAGTTTGCTTTGGTGTACGGTGCTGCAGACATAAACACAATACAAGGAAATAAGTTGTAAGACAAAGTCAAAATGATAACGATTATAGTCAGAGTAAATGTACTTTACATTGATTAGCAGCACGTTTTCCAACCAAATACAGTAAAGCACCGCAGTTGCTAGCAAGCAAAGTAAGGTAACTAATACAAATCTGTAGATAATACTATATTGTTTAGTAAAACCACGTACATGCAAAATTGATAATAGGAAATTAGTGTTTTGTTAGAGCTATGAAGTGGTGTTATTATAAGATCATTAACGTTACACAATCATCCATAACTGATGCTGCTCTCCAGCACCAGCTAGCATAAAGCTAACTAGTCATTGGACTTACCTGGGGTGTTAACAGTGTTTTAAGATGCCTCAGTTGCATTTTCAGAAGTCTTTGGGACCTTGTACAGGGAAGAACGTTATGAGGAATAAGTAAAGAGTTCCAATTATTTTACATTTACGGTCATTATGTTGACCAACTTCGAGATAGCAGCTAGCATAGAAGACATCTTTCTAGTAAACAGAACTCAGATCTCCTTAGTTACCGTTGGTGCGGGAGGGCGGGGCCTATGGTGCGTTTGTAGCGGTGGAAAATGTCAGATGCTCTCTGTTTCGACACATGTATTTTATTCAAGAACAGTTTGTGATTGTTTTAATAAATAGTTTACAAGGTATAATAACGAGTCAACAATATATGTACGTAGATTCAACACTTACATCTATGTGTGAGCGAGATCTGATTAACCGGTATTTATAAGGCCTTATAGACTTCTTGTTTCCAAAGATTTGATCTCCGTCACAATGGTATAGCGATATTTTTTCGGAAAAAAGTTAAATGTTTTCTATGTGTAATTCAGTTGATTAGTCTTCACTCGTCCACGTGAAGAACATGTTCATTGGTACAACAAATAAAAGATTTCCTGGAGATGCCGGGGATTGAACCCGGGGCCTCATACATGCAAAGCATGCGCTCTACCACTGAGCTACATCCCCTTCCATGTCAGCGTTTCCGGAAGCTATCATTATATACCTTCCATTACTATATTCCACTGTTATCAGTTTGTTATGAATGTTATGATGTATATGTCTTTAATAATTTCAGAAACACGTTTATATGGAGGACAGAACATGACATAAGTAACAAATAAATAAAATGCATAAATACAGAATTAATACAGGAATCAAAAAATGTGGAAATAAATACAGGAATATATGGGTGTATTCCACTTTCAAATGTATATATTGTAGAGCCGATGAATGGGAGTCGGAGGCGGTGTGTTCAGTATGGAACTCCACACTTTATTATACATTGATCAAGACAAGGTGAGTACACTTACTGCTACTGCATGTCATGCTAGCCTGAATGACCACAAACCCCGGTACCCTCACTAACGGTCCAGGTTGCAACACACACTAAACACACGGTGAATTATGTCCTATAACGTGTCACCACACAAGCCCCCCCCCCAGAATTCACCCATAAACAAAAACAAAGTCAGCGCGTGGCGGGGAGGAACGACAGGCCGACCCCCACGACTCCTGAGGAGTACGGGGGTCGGAAAAACGACCTCTGCATGGGCGGCCTCCGGAAGAGGCGAGACCGGAACAACGGGTCTCAAGTCAGCGACAGGGATCAAGGCCAGGGGGCGCCCCCGTCGCGGAGGTCGTGCCAGCACCACCGGCTGGTCCAAATCCAGGTGGGCCGCCTTCAACCGGTCCACCGAGACGTGCTCGACCTTACCACCAAGGTCGCCAACAAAGTGTTTGCCCCCGTGCTCCAAAACCCGGAAAGGTCCATCGTAAGGAGGCTGTAGGGGACCTCTGTGTGCATCGTGCTGGCTGAAGACGTGCTTCGCCGAGCGGAGATCCGCGGGAACCCGGGACACCTGAGTACCATGTCGAGCAGTGGGAATCGGAGCAAAAGTCTCAGCGGCATCCTGCAGGAAAGCCCGCTGGGCCGTCGCCGACCAGGGAGCCGATGCGTTGGGGAGGAAATTCCCCGGAACCCTCAGCGGCTGACCGTAGACCATCTCAGCCGTGGAGCACTGCAGATCCTCCTTAGGCGCGGTCCTCAGGCCCAGCATCACCCAAGGCAGCTTGTCGACCCATTTACCGTCCGTAAGGCCGGCCTTGAGGGCCGCCTTCATGGAGCGATGGAACCGTTCACAGAGGCCGTTAGCCTGAGGGTGGTAAGCGGCAGTCCTGTGCAGCTTAACCCCCAAACCACTCGCCACGGCGTTCCAGAGCTCGGACGTGAACTGTGAACCCCTGTCTGAGGAAATGTCTGACGGGGTGCCAAAACGACACACCCACGTAGGGCTGTGCAATTTAATCGATACTGCGATATATATCGATATTTTGTTTCTCGAGAAAGTATCGATATTTCAGCCGCGGGTATCGATACATTAAGTCCCATTCAAATCCCCCGTGTTCCGCCTGGCACTCTGCTCCCTGCCCATTCCCCCCCGTTCGCTTTGCATGAAGAGCGATTACATCAGCCAGCCGAGCCGCTAGTGTCGCTGTAGAGCATTTCTAGATACACACGCCGGTTTCTTCTTCTCGCAGTGAGTGGGAAGCGGTTCAGGAGAATGGCGGCACACATTAACCCAGCACCTTCGTGCTTAAAAGCAGATGTGTGGGAGCACTTCGGCTTTAAAAAGAAGAAGGAAAGCGACAATTTAGATAAAACGATGGCGGTTTGCAAGCTGTGTCACACAAACGTGAAATACTCTGGAAATACCACTAACCTGCGATTCCACCTACAACGTCACCACCCGGACAAGGTCACGCTAACTCAGGAACTCAAGAAGCTGCGGCCGCGGCGTGACCCAAAACAAACCGTGCTGGACAGCGATGGCGGTTGTTCCCACAAGTTCCCATCTACTTCACCAAGGTCGCAGAAGATTCAGAGTCCATTGCCTACTTTATTTGTCAGGATTTTAGACCTTATTCCGTGGTGGAAAACATAGGCTTTCGGCGCATGGTGAACGCGATGGAGCCCCGCTATCCTGTTCCAACCCGCCAACACCTCACCAAGGTTTGCGTTCCCAGGCTGTATGCTCAGACAAAGGCACACGTCAAAGCCTCCCTGGGCAAAGCGGAGAGAGTTGCCCTGACGTGCGACGGGTGGACCTCGCGAACAACTGAAGCATATGTCACCATCACGGCCCACTTTATTAACGAGGAATGGGAGCTTGTTACGTATGTATTACAAACCAGGGACATGCCCGAGAGCCACACCGGACACAACCTGGCAGAACATCTAAGAAAGGCCCTCGCTGAGTGGGAAATCACAGAAAAGGATCCAGTAATTGTCACTGACAACGCGTCAAATATGACAATAGCAGCTGAGGAGGCAGCGTTCACACTTCACGTCAAATGCTACGCACACACCCTAAATCTGGCTGCACAACGTGCCCTCAAAATCACAGCAGTCGCACGCCTGTTGGGAAGAGTGAGACGCATTGTGAACTTCTTCAGACGAAGCACCACAGCCAACCACATGCTGAAAAAGAAACAGAGGCTTCTACATTTACCAGAGCACAAGCTGATGACAGACGTGGTTACAAGGTTTGTGCTAGTTACTTTTCAATTGTTCATTTTGTTTTTATTACTAATTTATTTTGTCATTAATAAATACATTTAAATAAATCTATAAATAAAGTTTCTTACTTTTATTTAACTACAGGTGGAACAGTGCACACGACATGCTGGAAAGATTCCTTGAGCAACAACCGGCCATCTGTGCAGCCCTGCTCTCGAGTGAGGTGAGGAAGACCGAGAAGGATCTGTGCACACTGACTGAGTCAGACATGACAACAGCTGAAGAAGTAGTCAGCGCGCTGAAGCCCATGAAGGAGGCTACACAGTACATGTCCAAGGAGAAGACCCCCACGCTGTCAGTCATCGCACCCCTCCAGGACACACTGATCAATGGACTGAAACCGATCGAAGGTGAATCTGCAGTCATAAAAGAGATGAAGGCTGCCATGTCTGGGGATCTTCAGAAGAGGTACATCGACCTCAGGGCAACTCTCCATGCATGTTCAGCAATGGATCCAAGATTCAAAAGTCTTCCCTTCCTGACTGAGAACCAAAGACAGGAAGTTTATGATGGACTGATTGCAGAGGCTCAGGATCAGCCAATGCCATCAGAGGTAAGGCAATGATGGTACTGCTAGGTTTAACCCTTGGCCTTGTATCCTATGTAACATCTCCTGGTGAGAGTAAGCATAGGCCTAAATAATACATTGTTCAACGTTTAAAAGGCAAATCCTACAACGTTAACTGTTTAAAATGCATAAATATTAAATTGTTTAAAAAGCATAAATCCTACAACGTTAACTGTTTAAAAAGCATAAATACTATAATGTTAACAGTTCTAAAGGCATAGATTTTAAATACACTAATTAAAAGATTTATTACAGTGAAAGCTCAAGAATTTCATTTCATGTTGACCTATTTCATTTAGTTGTCCCTTTGGAGTGTGGTCGAAGAGGGCACAGGAAAATGTAATGGTAGCGCTGATGATGAGGGGATGGCATCCGAAGAAGAGACTGTAGATGATGGTGTGCGATTCAAGGAAGGAGAGAGCAGTCAAGGTCAGTATCACCCATTGTTATCCAGTGAAGCACATTGTGTTGTCTGAACCTCTGAGTAGGAATTATGGAATGTGATTAACTATAAATAATGTGTTTTTATTGTTTATTTATTTGAAGGTCAGCATCCTCCACCCAGGAATCCAAAGCCGTCTTGTCCACTGGCTGCCCTTCTTGGTGGTGAACGATACGGTGGTGGAGCACAACCCAAGACAAATACTATGGAGTCAGATTTGGGTCAATATTCTCGCGCGTAAAACAAGCTACTCACGAGCGGAAAATGTGCTTTTACACGCGCATAAAATGACCCTCGCGCGCAGATTAAACCCCCGCGAGCGGCTCTGCGCTCGCTCGCGAGAGAGACAGCCCTCTTGCTTGCTCGCGGGAGTGTCAGCCTCGCGGAGTCTGTCTACGCGCGCGTGAAAAGTTTCTGGCACTTTGGGGCGGAGCCACTGGACTTTGATTGACAGCTGCCAGGAAACCCGGGGTTGCCAGGTTTGATAAATGCCTGAACTGCCAAGAGCCGAGCAGTGACGGCAGGAAAATCAGTTGGACGAGATTGAATGGTAAAGTTGTCCATAAAAAACTATTATATTCGTAAAGTGTACAGCTAATATATATATATATGATTCTGTTTTCTTCAAGGTTGTGTCTTCCTGGTCGAATGTACTTATTGTAAATCGCTTTGGATACAAGCGTCAGCTAAATGCAATGTAATGTAATATACATTAATTTGATATAAAACAATATATTTTTCAGTGGGCTGTGTCCGTCGAAAACTGCTAGCTACTGTCTGCTGTACGCATAGATATATATATAAACACTAGATGGCTCATGGGAGATTTTCCAGCGTAGCTCACCGGCCGCCATCTTGCTACAGTCAACAGCTACTCTGGTACGCGCTATGGTAGCTGTTGTAAGGTGAGTGATCTGCAC